ATGTATTGAAAAACACCAATAATGCAACAATTTATTTGCGTAGAACTGGTCATACTATAAGAGTAATTAAACCTCTAAAAAGAGAAGTGTACACGACGTACGTAGGCCTAATTTTTGAGTTGTTGAAGATTTCATGAAATCTTTCTTGTATACCAGGATGCACTGCGGGTGAACCCTCAAGAAACATGAATTAGCAAGGAACATTCTAATTATGTGATGACAGGGGACATTTAAGACGGATGCTGTCTTGTGCCTCCAGTGTCCTATAACGTCAAGTACATGATGACGCTGTTAGTTGTCTCTCAGTTGACTTGACGAATATAGGGGAAGCTCAAACTTGTTAAAAAAAGATAGAGAAAAGTGGACGATGCAGGATTTAGAATTAGGGACGGCTTCAAAGGGGGGGGGGGTTGAGGGTGCATAATGGGAGCATCCCCAAGTCAAAGCGTTTGCTTTCCCGATAACCACCCGTCAGCCCGGCAAAACATGAAATCTAAAGGGCGATTCGAAAGGGTTACACCCCCTATCACCATTTTGGTAGCTGAAATTAATGAAAACACAATGAGAGATCCCTAACCAGCGGCAACACCATATTAGCATGGTGGGGGCATCGCCACTCAACCCATCCCCCTCTCTTCCGTTAGCAATTAATTCGACGAAACATTATGTTAAACATCATCTGAATCAGCACCTGATACAAATTAAACCACATTATTTCGTACCCAGCTTCAATCATGGACCTTACCCAACTTTCCAAGTCATACTATACACCTAATGATGAGTGACGTATATTGTTTTGTCTCTCACGTCTCATTCATTTCCCTAATTTGAAGATCATAACGAAGGACGCGCGTGACGGGTTAATATCCAGCATTAGTGGGATAATGCCTGCAAAAGCAGACACACATGCAGACAAAATCTGACGAATTCACCAAATTGACTGTCCGTGACTTTGGACTGAATTGACATCTTTATCTTCTTGTACCATTGTTCATGTATAAAATATGGTGAGGCCTAGATAGCTCCGTTACCACTTCCGTAAATACATTGGCCTACTTCGGGTTATTGAGTTTGAAGCCAGTGTGTCATGTGTACAATCACATGTGCAAACCAAGTTTGGCCGCGTTGTGCTTATAGGCCACTCTGCAGTAGTGTGGAGCGATGTTCTATTAAAAAGCCAATACACGTGATGCGTCATCTGCCTGGCGTAGGGCTGCGTCTTAACATGTGCGATCTTTGACGCATGCACCGTGTGAGGTGGTCATCATCTTACTACGAAAAGAAGAGTGTGAACATTGCGTTGAATTACTGACACACGCATTCACTAGGCACATGCCAGAGCCTTCCATGCGCTTTATTAGCGCAGGTTATATTGCAATCGAAATGCATGACGCCTATTGATCAAATGAGCCTATGGTCAGGCAGTGAGAACAGTCTGGTAGACAGACCGTAATTCTTTTGTAGTATTTGTACACGGCAATGACCAAGCCATTGATTGAAAACGGATATATGTCTGACAAATTGAAGCAATTATGGGGGGTCTCGTGTCTCGTCGCTCGACGACTAGAAAGGGTTGAGTAATATTTCAATTTAGACTATCTTTTAAAGTAACTATCTCGTATAATTACAAGCCGCCATGATACTATTCAGATTTATTTGTTGTAATCTGTGATTGATTGATTGATTTATTGATTGATCGTTTGATTGAATCACTGGTCGATTGATTGGTTGATTGGTTGGTTGGTTGATAGATCGAATGTTTATTTTATTGATTGATTGAGAGGGAAGAGAGAGAGATACTGGGAGGGTGGAAGGGACTCCGTCATTTTGACTTTTTTTTTGCAGGAAATAAACGGTTCAAACCATTCGTCAATAACTGAGTTGATATGTCTCTCAACAACATTATCAGTACTGTGTGATTTTGAGATTTATTGATATATATCAAACAAAACAAAACATGGAGAGCATTTTAAACATACTAATTAGCTTTTCTTTAAGTCTTCTCGCAGAGAAGAATATTGCATGTTGAATATATGAGTATTGGTTTAATATTACCTCGTAGGGTTTTGTATGTATCGTATTATCTATGTCCGTATGGTAAAATTAAAAAAAGTTGAACACGGCACGACTGAGAGGTATATTAACTGATTGACGAAATGTTTGGGATGAGAAATAGTTTACGCTGCCTTTCATCATAATCATTTAAACTGGTTTTGCGCGATACAATTTAAAAGGTTACATAGTTCCTTTAACAAATAGTATTGTGTCTAAAATATTGTATCTTTCATCCCTTTCTCAACGTTTCTATGGGCTACTATTGTCATTTTTGGCTTGATGCGAAAATTTGATTATAGCTTGCCAAAATACATCTGTCATCCCTTTCTGTTCATGTTATAAAGTAGCCTGAGTAGTCGGCTGGACATGATTTCGATAAAATAAAAAGAGGTTACAACGTCCTTTCCTTGCCTCTTCCTGAGTATCCCACTTTTCCTGCTTATCTTTCATATTCCTTTCTTTATTCCTGTCTCTTTACGTCTTTCCTTCTTACTTAAATCATTCTATCTTGCTTTCGATTACGCTTTCACATTTCCCCCTTCCTTCATCACTCCATCCCTCCCTCCCGTTTTGCTCTCCCTCTCTATCCACCCTCTTTGCCTCTCCTTCCCTCTATTATCCTCTCTCTCTCTCTCTCTCTCTCTCTCTCTCGCTCTCTCTCCCTCCCTTTATTATCCCCCTCTTCCTCCCTTTATTACCCCCCTCTCCCTCTCTCCCTCCCTCTCTCGCTCCTCTCCCTATCTCATCTCAAATGTATGTCATGTTCCTAACAATATGTACTTTCAGAATAAATCGCTAGTGGGTGCCTGCCAACAATGTTGTTAATAACTTCCTCCACTGAAGTGCACAAAAGCAAGTTTGTCATCAGTCTGCCTTCAAAACAATGGAGGCACCCGTTCTAATGTACTTATACACATGAATCCCCCTCTGCGTCGTCCTCCTCCTCTTCCTCTTCCTCTTCCTCCTCCTCTTCTCCCTCCTCCTCCTCTTCCTCCTCTTCCTCCTCCTTCTCCTCTTCCTCCTCCTCCTCCTTTTCTCCTTCTTTTCTTCTCCGACATCTTTTGTTTTCTTCTTCTTCGTCGTCGTCGTCGTCGTCGGCTTTTTCTTTCTAACCTCCTGCTCGTCCTTCTGTTGGTCTTTGATTGCTTGACAGTTTTTTTATGTTTTATGTTTGAAGTAAAGTTGGAATCTCTGAAACAAAGAGTGCATCGATGGTCTTGAAATCAAATTATCGACGCTGTATAGCACATTTATATACTCTATACACAAAATTTATTCGAGGTACCAACGTAGTAATGTGCTTTGTGAATTGTTATTATTATAATTCACAGTATAACTTTGACAGAAAACAAACAACAGCACACTTTGCTTTCTCAGTACTTAGAGAGGTATGCAAGACAATTGCCTGAAGATGTTTGTGGTTTGTCAAATAACAATTATTTCTTGCTTTAAAGTGATTATGCTCAATTTTTCGGATACTCGTAATTCTGAACAAACAACTTCCCTACGCTCGGACCATTGATCACATTAATTTGAAAAATCAAATGAGCTTGGCTTATCTGAACGTTGTTTTTTAATGCTTTAATTTTAAGGTTCGTCAATCACAAAGTTATCATTTGTCATGAACTTTTGGATTAACTCACCTTCGGTATAATGAGACATTACCATCATGGTAACATTAATAAGTTTGTGCTGGTGTGTGGCCATTACTTTTTTGCTACCAACTCTTTTTTTTTAAAATTTAAATGCCATATACAGCCCTTCGTTTGACGTTTAATATTTGTTAAGGTTTTTGTTTAATTCCCAGATTTTTACCTTTTCAAACACAAAATACACAGGTAAAATGCAAGATATGAATGAGTAAATTGTTCATATACTGGTATCTGTATTATATTGACCGTTTACATGTACGAAGGATTACATATATTTCTCAATGGCCTGACAAAGCTCTGCCTTTTTTTAAAACACTATCACATTTACCGTCAATGTGGGGGTAGATGCGCGTTATCAAAGCATGTTCTATTTTGCTGATTAACAAGTTATTAATTTATTATTTTCCTATTTACTTCAGTTTTATTGTACACAAATTGTTTTCTTTTTACAGCCTAATGGCCTTCTTTGAAACAGAGTATAAGATATATTCATAATAACACGGTGTGAGTAACGTGGGCCCATGCCCATGCGTGTCTACGCGCTACTCAAAGTATAAAATTGTGTCAATTTTCCTTCGTTCGTTCTTGTGACGAAGTGAGACGAAGGAGTCACTAATTTCAAGATTTAAAATGGCGAGTCATGTTCCTTTCAAAATATGTCACGCTGTGACCGTGTCATTGGAGTGTGTATTTTGTCCTCCAAAATGATAGATTTTTTTTAGAAAATCATAAATATGTGACCTCGTGATGACCTGCATGTTGTCAATCTATCCAAGGTCCTTGATCTATCGAGAGACTGTCACTTAGAAATAATTTGGTAGGAGTTATGCTTCCTGAAATAAAAATGAGGTGGACGCATAACTTATTAAGAAAATTATAACTTTAATGAGCAAGTGCCATTTTAAATTACGAAATTTGATTTGTCATGGGAATTGCTTTTCAAAACTTTCGTCTGAGTGGTTTTAAATTGACAGGGAAACCCTTACGGAAACGAGCACTTCTTATTAGCCGTCAATGATGTTATGTTAGATAGGTAGTGAAGTTGAATTTTGAATGACTTAATAAACTTGAAATAAGTCGTTCATTAGGTTAGACTTTAGTTGTTTATCATTAACGTCAGAAAATGTCCAAACGCACATGCAATGTTTAAAAAAAAAGGAGGTGGGGCTCTATCCAGGCAACATGTCAGGCGATATGCTCTCAGTTTTATTTTATGGATGTGATTTGTTAATGTATTCATTTTTTCTCTCCTCTCTTCCTCTTCTCTTTCTCTCTCTCTCTCTCTCTCTACAGGCCCGAATGAATCACCCGAGACTCTCATAGACGGTATGCTGGATATCATAGCAGAAAACGAAGGGATCGATGGAGGTGAGCACCGTTCATTCCTTGAACCAAAAATCAATGCAATAAAACTGATCAATAATATTTATTTATTATGTAAAAGTTAATGAAATTCCATGGCAAAAGTTCCATTTGCAAAATGAGATATACTTGTAAATATATATATACTTAGATTTGGTCTATTCCTCCGTACAGTGCTCAATGATTATAGGCAGAGCAAAATATAGGCGTGAAAATCGGAGTTGCAACCATGTTCCATTAGTCTGCCTTATTCAATATATATATATATATATATATATTTATAATGTTAATATGACTGATTCAGTAAATAGGCCTACTTAGTTTCCGACAGGTCTTCGATCTTCACGATCGTATGTTTTCAGCGCTTGTTTCGGGCCTAATGCTCAAATTATTATGAATCATCGCATGGGTAAACAATATTTATATCGCAATAAGTAAATATTCCTTACTCCAAAATGTCAACATTGTTGTGTACTCGTGAGTGTGAAATATTTGGTACGGATACAATCTCTAGCTTATCCAATCTCTGTTTTATGTTATACCCATATTTCCGGCCAAATACACGTTCATTCTAGAGGTTGAACATAGGGCACCACTTTAACTGAAAATCGATCATTTATAAAATGGAAGAAAAGGAAAAACAATGAGAGAAAAAAATCGATGACGTGGTCATCCTGATTTCTTGACGTGAAATGACCTTTTGACTTATTATTTAGTCAGATTTTGGTACACTCTTTAAAAAAAGAGTGAATTTTCACTCTATTTTCACTTTATTGGGAGTGACGTCCGTGATCTCTTGTTTAGGAGTGAAAATCGATTGATTTTAGAGTGCTCTCTAAGAATAAAAGAGTGAATGTTCACTCTATTTTCACTACATTTTCACTCTCCAGAGGAGTGACGTCCGTGATCACTCGATTTTTTTAGAGAGAGTACAAAGTCATTCAGGGCAATTTAGCTTGGTAATTCAGAGGAATAAACCATGTAATCTTTCTTCTTGCTTTTTTAGCTCTTGATAATGATAATTCGACACCTGGAAATTTTTATCAGGTTTGTGGGAAGGTGATTTCAATCTCGGCATCCGTTTTGGGGGGGTAAAACGATAAATGAAGTCAATTTGAAAATGAAAAGAATAATGTATTTTTGTCAACGAACCATGAGATTTCAATATAAACTAAAGAATTTTTTTTTCGCAGACAAGTTCATGTTTAACCTCACCATCCAGGAGCTCACCTGTCTCAATCAATGAAAAAAAGCTTTGGGCAAATATCAAAATTTATCGACATAATTGAATCAATTTGAGGGTAATTCTCAGGTATGTAGTCTATATCCGCAAGCGATTCCTGTCGTGATACATTGGAGCGTCCTTTTTCATGTTTTGTTTTTCCTCTTCTAAATGTTACTGGGATGTATTCCGTGTCTGGCAATACATCACTCAGACAATAATATTCAAAAAGTATTTATCCTCATGTTTTCGTCTGGGTGGATTAAAAAGTCAAAATGAGTTTACCCTCAAGATGTTATGATTAAATTTGTACCTCCTCAAAATTCAATTAATTCCATTATTGTGTGTTATTGAACCTAATTGATTTCACGTATAATATTGTCAGATAGAGTTCAGCATTTGATGCCGGCTCTTTCAGTGTGTTTTTCTATGTTATCAAAGAAATAATGCGATTATCGCATTATTTTGTCGGAAACTGCTTTTGATTTTTATTCGATGATCATGAAGATTAACCCATTTGATATCGCAGGTGAATATTGCGGGTAATATTTAGAATGTAAATTGCGGGAAATGATTAACAAATAGAAGATTAGGTGTTTAGTGCATTTGATAGATGTGGATTAAAAGCTTGTGAAAAACACTTCTTTCTTCTTTATGTTTAGATTTGGCATGTTTTATTTGATAATGCATTTATCAATATAAAAACTAGCCTAAGACATAAGCATTCGAGGTTAAGTGAGGGGAGCTCTGGCCCCTTAATCCCCACTGCACTACTTATAGCTACTTGCGCCCTCTATATAGCAAACAATGCCTAATCGGTGCCTGTTGGTCCCCCATGATCCCTTTTTTCTTATGTTAACTGAGAGCTGGTTTGATGAGATAACCATCTGTCAGTGACCTTGCAGGGAGTTTTAATCTCCCTGGCCAAACTAGTGCAGACGGGCTTTAAGTATGTTTCGGGCAAACTCATATTCTGGCAGCAAGGTGATCTCTTGGTAACTCTTTATATCCAGTGTATTGTTGAGCAAACGAAAGTTTATAAAAGGCTATGAATAATTTGAAATTATTTAACAAGAGGCTTGATCGCCACCATAAAAGTTTCAAAATTTTGCTCGTTCGCTTCCTAAATTTAGGGACCTTGAAAGTCTATATTCGGTCAGGAGATGTCAGCCACTGGTGAAAATGTACCCGAAATCCCGAATGTTCTTGGGCTAAAGTAGTCAGTATGCAAACTAAAAATAACGGATTTCGTTGTTCAACGCATCTAAATAATGATTTTTGAATTAATCCGATCTAACGATCTGATTAGCATGCGGCTGTTATTTGAAAGGAAATGTGTAACTGTTTTACAATATAATTATTCGGCAAAGCTGAACACAATATTGGCTAGGTGATTAGGTTGTATAGGCCTATTCAATTATGTAGATACACTGTAGTTACAAGATCTCTTTTTCAAGGAATTATTGAAAACATTTCTCTTTTCAGAATTCTTAAACCCTGTTGCATTTCATTACTTTGTTTATAGTTATCTTAAGTTTAATTCAATATCATGTTATATTTATTTTGTAAACACTGTGTAATAATAATATACAGAGCGTATTATGAAAGTGCTAACTATATATCACGAACAACTTGAATGGTAAGAAAATGTATAGTTTCTTGTAGTTTTAGTTTGTGTTTACATAACCAACCATAGATTTCATTTTCAAAATGGCAAATAACTTCATTTAAAGATTAATAGGTCAGATTAAACTGCGCATTGTCATTCAACTCAAGTGCATTTCCAATTTCATCACCGCCCTCAAACTCAGTCGCAGCTTAGCGGGCTTACAGCGCCGCTAGGGTAACTGACCCATGTCTTCTCGCCGGGATCTGAGGCGCGGTTTCCCCTCAAGAAGCCCCATCTATCTGCAGCTAGCGAGCGTGCCTAGTTTTGCCATGCTGCTGGAGTTTGCTCGCTTGATTTGGTATTTGATCGCTCGGTGACTCCAAACTTGCCGAATATTATGAAGATCAAGTAGATTAAATGTGGGGAGATAAGTTTGAAAAGTAAACGAAAAAGAAGTAAAGAGAATGTAAAGGTTAATAAATGAGGAATGGCAGATAGTGCGGGGAAGAGAAAGACGAACGAGAATGTAATGAGAGGAGACTGAGGATTAGAGGGAGGAAGACAGAGAAGAAGAAGACCAAAGGCGTAACGAAGATGAAGAAGGAAAAGAAGGAGTTGGAGGAGAAGAAGAAGGAGAAGGAGTCGGAGAAGGAGGAATACGTGGAGAAATGATGATGAAGAAGAAGAAGAAGAAGAAGAAGAAGAAGAAGAAGAAGAAGGAGGAGGAGGAGCAGCACAATAAGAAGATGAAAGAGGAAGATATGATAATAACCTGATATTAAACGGGCAACGTAAGAAAAGGGGAGTACAATACACGATATTTGAATGAGAATGACACATGACTTGTATGGATGTTCGAGAAAAATATTGAAAGTTGATATACGTCATTGAATGGGTTTAAACTACAATCATGGAAGTAGAGAAAAGAAGAAGAGTGAGTGAGGCTGTGAGCATAAGATAGAAAGAGAGGGGGAAGATGTATCATTCCTATGTTCATTTATTCATCGTATCGCCATCGCCTTCAGTGCATGAAGATCGCAAAAAAGCTGTTGTGTACTCGCCTTACTGGTCAAGCATGGATTGGAGTGAGATTCCGTCACGCTTTACGAAATTTTCACAGATGATCGCCATGATCGCCTTTCTAGTACATGTATAAGAAGTAGTTTAAGTGCCGAAAATTTCCGCTACAATTCGGCGGATGTAGAAATCATAAAACTTCTCCTGTTCATACAGCCGGAGGAAATGATGCATAGTTTAATACACCTCGGGATACATCTTTAAATTACAGTCATGTTCAAGACTGTCATTCTTCATTAGCAATGAATCTCGAGAATGTCAAACAATCATCGGACGTATTTAAATTGAATACCTGCACACCGGTGTAATACCGCTGAATTAATACCGTCTAGCACCCTACGTGTAAGTCCTTGAAACTAATGATATATCATCGTCCTCTCTTTCTTCCTCAATTTATTCTCATAATTTGATTTGGATCTCATTCGCACCAGCAATCTATTGAAAGCAGGTCACTCTGCCGGACGAGTGTACTCTTCGAATCCATGTCATTAGGACATTTTTCCACTCTTCTATAGGAGTGGAATACGCTCCAGACGGAAGGGGCGGCCGAGTGTACCTGGATATACCCAAATACATTTTTGTCTGTGCCTCCAAACTGATGGGAGGGCGGGCGGGGGGTGTACGCCAGTTCAGTTAGTTGATGGATACGCCCTCCTCCTATGTTGACGTCTACTACCTATTATAGTTTCATTCAATTTAAGGCAAAGATAATGAGTCGCAGACGATTTAATTTAATTTTCATGTTGCACATTTCCTTTGTTGTTGTGATCGTCAAAGTTTGGGCGACAATGGGTTTGTTTTCGAAAACGCATTGGCAGCATCTGATATTATGGATTGGGAGGAAGTTAGAGAATTACAAACTAGATGACGATAGAAATGGATGAGGAAAAGAGATGGGAGAGAGAGAGAGAGTGATGGGGAGAAGAGAAATCAGAGCAAAAAGAGAAAAAGATGAAAGAGAGAAGAAGAGAAATATAATTTGGAGACAGGAGAGGGACAGAACAACAGAAATAAGCGATAGAAAGAGAGGAGCGATGATAGAGCGTACTCTTCTGATGACATTGGAGGTATTTTATTTTTTGCACATTCAATTTACTCCCTAATCATCTTGATGGTGGAGGTCAATGACCTGCCTTTCTGCGGCCCTTGGACAAAGGTCTCATCATGGACCATCCTGTGTCCTGAGTAGAGTTCACACCAAGAGACAAGAGATAGAGGGAGAGAGAGAGAGAGAGAGAGAGAGAGAGAGAAGGAGAGGATTCAGAGAAAAAGAAAAAGAAAATAGAGAGGTTAAAGAGATATTATAGCGAATAGAATTTTGAAAGAGGAAAAAGAGGAAAAAAGATGGAAAGACAGGAGCGATGGATAGAGCATACTCATTTGATGACATTGAATGTGTCTAATTTTTGGCACATTCAACTTACTCGGTAATCATCTTCGTCATGGAGTTGAACGACCTGCCTCTTTGCAGCCCTTCGGCAAAGGTCTCATCATGGACCATCCTCTCTCCTGGCTTAACACCAAAGACAATTTTTTTGTGCACATTCAACTCTCTAATCATCTTGCTCGTAGAGGTCAATGACCTGCCTTCCTACATCCCTTGGACAAAGGCATCATCATGGACCAACCTCTATCCTGGGTAGAGTTCACACCAAAAGACAATTACATTTAGCAAACCAAGTTCATGATGATGAGCCACATTTTTAAATGAAAGACAAGCAGCTGTCTAATCAACGGTGGACGTTTACAAATCAACCGCTATCTGAAGTATATGATTTGAATAGTATTCAATTTCGGCGTCACAGCTGCGAACAAATGAGATTTATCAAATAGACTCCCAATCTCAATATCAACACGCGGTATATATCTATGCTGGACGATGCTCGAGACAAAACTATTTGAATGGAATGATTAAATAAAATGAGTGATTAATGAAAATTTAACGAATGAGAAGCGCTGACCTCTCCAACAGACATGAAAGACCAGCTGATGCATGGTCAGGATGAACTGAGAGATAGCGAACAGTGTCGGGATGTGTGTTGGTGGAAAGGGGGGGGGGAGGGGTGGAAGAGAGAATTTGATACAGCGTAATGAAAGCACATGAAGCACATGATAGAAGCAATATTTGTGAAACACGTCATTTCATGAAGGATTGGAAAACTGTTCAGAGAAGAAAATACATGTTTATTGTTAACGACTGCAAGGATAGTTTTAAATCGATGACTGTAATAATAAAGTCTAAATCTTTTGCGAATCAAATGAGGTGTCGATCCCATGAAGCATTGGGGCAGTACCCCCCCCCCCCCACTCCTCCCCAAAAACAAAAGTTTATAAATAAATTTTGTTTTAAAGAATAAATACGGCATCTATTTATTCGCAGCTTTAGCTCTTGATCAAGGTGTAGTGAGCTCTAAAATGGATCGACGCCCCCAATTTGATATTGAGGTTTGAAATAAAATAAACGTTTTGGGGTGAATAAAACGTAGACAGCTTAATCATCCATAAAACCATCTACTTCTTTCCAAACGACATCAATCACCTGATCGTTGTCTGGCAAGTCATCATGCCAAGTCAAACATCCATAGAAGGACCACCAAACAACCTAAGGCATCACTAAACACCGAACGTGATCGTCAAACATTCCACCAGTGGCCCCCGGCTGCTACGTTTCAGAGCAAAGTCACTAGCCCATTGCAAATATTATTAAAAACTCTCAAATGATGATTGATTATAAATGGATGATGTTTCACCAGCTTAGGTGAACTGAATGATCTACGGAGTCATTTAATTGTCTTCTTTTGTTTACTCGAGTTTATTCCGTACATAAATCGATTAGTCATGTTCATATGCCGTGCTCATGACTTGAACAATATCATTTATGAATATTGAATAGATTCAATGGTTGCTTTAATCATTTATTTTTATTTCTTTAAAGAAGGTCACATAAATTAATATTGATGTACATTTGCCGCTCTCGACCCAGGTCAAATAAATTTAGACAGGCGACCGATAGGACAAATAAATGCTTGAGCCCTTATATGGAAACTTGGCAAAAGCCTATGCAACACATTGCCTCATGATATGTTAACTCAACACAAGGCATGTAGACGGTGCTTATAAGTGTTTATTGTCATCATTATAAACTGTAATTTCATTTATGAAAATGCTTCTTTTCTTTTTGCATAGAGAACAACCATCTTGGTGATCACGGGCACCTTATCGACGCCGACATCTATGAAGAGATAGAAGGACTTGAAGAAGATGAAACAAGGAGGGTACGTTCACTGATCATACAAACTTGTTATCTATCTAATCCACCAATAAAGAATTAAGGAGACGGACTATTGACAATTCTTGAAGAGTTATTACAAATTGGGAAATATAATGCATGCAGTTCTTTAAAAATTGGAGAAAAGTGGAAGAAATAGAGGAGGAAAATAGAATTACTATCAGAAATACAAGCGAAAAGGAATAAGATTGCAACGTAGAAGTTGCTGAAGAAAGAAGCAACGAAAGTAAAATATGAAAACGAAGGCTTATATGAAAATTATACATCATAGCTACACATTCAATATTTTAGAATTATTGGTTTGACAACTACCGTCTCTTTTCCCTTATATTGATATGATATAATTGAGTTAAACTGAAATCGTTAAAGGTAAAGACCAGTTATGGTCATGCGATTGCATTGTGAAAGAAACGTTGTGGAATCGATCAGAAAAGGTTGATCATCTAGCATCTAGCATCTGCAAGGTTCTGGAAACATCAAAATGATAAGAAATTTGGCCCATTCTTCGTAAAGTTACAAGCACTATACACAGAAAGATATATATGGGACTACCCTATATCTCTCACAGACCATGAGAGAAACAAATTTACCAAATATATGAATTAGTAGGCGGTTTCCCGGCAAATTTGTTATCATCATGTATTAGTCAAAACATATTCTTTCACATGATTGGTAATGAGAGCTTCCATTTCATTTTTTGAAATTGGGGCGTTTCCAATACTGGTCTTTACCTTTAAGCAAAAACGTTCATTTTTCCTTTTTAAAACCATGATCATAGAAACGTCGCAACGCTCTCCGTGATCGAGAAAGTCTATGGCCCGGTGGTGCAGTCCCTTATGTAATCGATGGGTACTATAGTAAGTATAGATCAAATTTAAACTAATGGAATTCAATGCAGTCCAATCAATTTAATCAAAATTAATAAACTATATTTTAGTTCAGCTCAGCTTAACTAGATTCGATTCAAGTCAAGTCAAATTCAATTTAATCTGCATGGATCAAGTTCAAACCAATTCGATAATTTCAAAAATTAATTGCAAGCTACGACAATTTTCTAAATTTTGTATGATTAAATGAAATATATATTTAACCGATTTTTTTTGTGTGTAAACTGTTGGGTCCTTAATTCATAATAAAAAAAAGTTTTTCCTCATATACAATCTGGATTTGGATCACGCAGAAATAATGTTAGATTTGTTAGAAATTATTGAAAAGGGATACGTCGTCATAGCAGAATTGTGTATCTATTACCAAAGCTGTATATTGTCTTGTTCGTTGCCTTTTTCAGATATTAATCACAAGAAGCAAATCCTAGCCGGTATGCAACGTTTTCATGAGAAGACCTGTATACGTTTCGTCCCAAGGACCATCGAAAGGGACTATATTTTCTTCACACAAAACTTGGGGTACGTTTATTCTTTCCTAATCATCACTGACTGAACCTATCTTACATAAAAACAACCTTTTTACCCTGTTTTCACGACCGAATAATTGTATTTGGGGTGTCACACCCTGCCCCCTCCAGCGACCCATCTGAGTGTGCCCACTCCCTAATGGACATCCAATTATTGTTTTTCCTCTCATATCTTGCATGCCGAAATATTTTACCCTACTTTTCATGTATGCCTTTAGTTGTTGGTCAATGGTTGGACGAACCGGTGGTCGACAGAAGATCTCGCTGTCGGGAACCTGTAGGGGGAGTCGTGGCGTCATCATGCACGAGCTCATGCACGCCATCGGGTTCAGACACGAACACAACCGACCGGACAGGGATGGTTATATCGATGTGTACTGGCAGAATATCAAAGCAGGTGAGAATACAATATGGTTTAGACAAATAAAAAGTAAAAAAAATTAATGATCCATTTCTTAGTTTTCTTACTATTGTCCTTGACTCAACCACTTCTATTATCATAAAACTGTTACTCTTTTAACAATGTGCGTCGTCGCAAAATTTAAGTACAATGACCGATTGCATTAATCATTCTTTCATTTCCTCAATGTATATATGTTGTCATTCTGTATTGCAAGTTCTTCTTTTTAATTTTGAAAATATTTATTTGTGTTCATTGGTTATATATATATATTTTTTAATGTTACTCCTCCTCACCCTCTTTCTCTTTTTCCCCTTCTCGTCTCTCCATCCTTCGTGTCCACTTCATCACTTCACTCCTTACACACTTCATTCTTTTCCACCCCTTTCCACTCCTCATTTGCTTACACCCCTTGTCCCTTCCACTCCACCCACCCCTCCCCTGAAACTTCCCTCCTTGCCACCCCTTTCCATCCTCCTCCACCTACCTTTCCCTCATCCTCCACGTACCTTTCCCTCCACTTCTTCTACCCTTCTACCCCTCATTCCATTCCATCCTTCCTACCCGTCCACCCTCCTTCCTTTCCTAAATCCTCTAACCCCACCCTCTAAACTCCGTCCTTTTCTTCCCCTCTTCCCTTCTACCGCTCTCTCCCATCCCCTCCCCTCCCATCCCCTCCCATCCATCCCACCACGCCACCTGACCCCCCCCCCCCCCCCCTCCTTCCCTCTCCCCTACGTTCGTCCATCCTTTACCCCATCCAGGATTCACCACCAACTTCCGCAAGTACAGCAACGACCAGGTGCAGACCCTTGGCACCGGCTATGACTTCATGTCTCTCATGCACTACCCGCTGACAGCCTTCTCCAATGACGGTAAATCGGTCACCATCGGCCCAAGGTACCCGACCTATCAGATCGGTGATGTCGGCAATCAGAACGACTTCAGTCACATTGATATCTACAGGATCAACCTGCTCTACAAATGCGGACGTGAGTTCGATGCGTGTGTTGATATGATTCCTAGATGAAACATGAGAAGGAAACAGACTATTCATTACAAGAAGTATCGGCAGTATCAAACAACAAGGTTGAAACGTATATACAATTTGTGTTTTATTTTTAATTTGTATTTTGTTGCATATTAGATTAAAGAGTAAATAAAGACTCACCAAAAGCGTTCATACGTCACTTGTTCATAGTTTGAATTGTTTATAGAATTGAAAATCACAACTTCAAATTTACAGTATGGAACGAATAGCAAGTCAAGGACTGGATATAATAAATTTAGGTAACACCTTTACTGGTTGATTACAGCAATAATCAATCAATTTGTTCACATGTTTTACAATTCTAGAATGCGAGGATTCGGATAAGTACTATTGTCCGATCTGGGCGATGATGGGTGAATGTTCGGCCAACAAGGAATGGATGACCAAATACTGTCCTTTCAGCTGTGACAGATGCACCATCGCTCTTCGCAAGGGTGACGGACTCGGTAAGTTACCCCCCCCCCCCTCCCTCTCCCCCCCCCCCCCCCCACCTCCCTCACATTCAACCTCCATGAAGGTTTTAATTAATTGGTAATTGATAGCGTTCGTTTTCACGACAATTCTGTAATTGAATTGAATTTCTTTATTGTCATGCACAAATAAAAGGAAGGCATAAAAATCGTCTTACGATTCACATTTGTATGAAATATCATAATACATTAACATGTCATAAAACAAATAACTACAAATATACATAAATAACATAACAATGTAATATACGTTAATCTCTCTTTTGAGAGCCAGTGTAACTGTTGATAATTAAGGGTAATGTGTCTTGTTTATATTATCGTGATTTTGAAAGCTGATTATTCCTTTATTTTACACCATGTACGGATATTAATAAGGACATCCATTTTGGTGTCACCATTACAGATGTATTATTTTGCTGTTGTTTGTTTAAATCAATTTATAATGTATTCTTCTTCGTCATCTTGTGACAAAGTTAAGAAGTATTGTAAAGTCAATCCCATATGTCTCGTTTACATTTCATTGGATTTCTTTCTTGATTTCACTCTTTCAAAATAACTCTTTAAATCTCTCATGCTTAGGGAGACAGCACCGCGTCCTAGCCTGTAACGGGGATAACGTTGAATAACGATTTAATTCACTAAATTGTGTTCTTGGAATATGAACGTAGTGATGATTGATAAATATTTTACATTATATTTATATATTTAACAAACGGCAATAAAACATAATCCCAGACGTATTTTAATATTTTCTTTACTTGCCCCATAAATTTGATTTGCGCATACCATACCTTTCATTTGTCGCCAGCCTGCATTGACACCACGTCAAACTGCAAACGTTGGGCTAAGATCGGTGAGTGTGAACGCAACCCGGCTTACATGTTGCAGAACTGCCGTCGAAGCTGCAAGCAATGCAAGGCTATTGACACTGAGACGGGACAAGAAGATGGTAAGTGTGAATTGTCAAATATCTAGATGTCCATGTTTTGGCCATCCTCTAAATCAATTGTAGAAGTCTATCTGACCAGGCCCGTTGCTACAACATTTTTGTTGGCAAATTAAATAATTGCATCCCCTATTTTTTTCTCAGTTTATCCTTGTCAGCAAATTCCAAAATATGAGGAACTGTTTGTTTTTTGTTCGTTCTTTTTGTTTATATGGTTTGAATATTTTGCTCTCCTGATGGCCATTTTCCATGACATCCCTCATACCACTCATATTTGGGAATGTGAGGGGACCCCTATTGGAAACACATCCGTCTTTGATAAGGATGTCCAATCCCTCAAGTGGTAAGTAAATGAATAAACAATAAGATAATACATATGTAAGATACCCCCTCCCAGCTCTTTTTGCCCCGAAATGTTCTGGCGATCCCATTTTTTTTTTTGGGGGGGGGGGACTGACAGTGTGTTGGATTGAGAGTATATACACATTTTAGGTGGATTGGTGCAATGAAAGATAAAATACATTTTTCTGGTATTTTCAAAAGTAGAACAAAGAGATCACGTGTAAAGGTCACCACATAGAGAGAATATAGATGTGTATCTTTTTATTTTTCTATGCACATGTTGCTTCATCTATTAAAGTACAGTATTTTTGTTGTTTGAGGAAGATTAGATTAAAGCTATAGTCATGTTGTGGTATCAATTATAGAAGATATTTGAGGGGAAGATCAAGCTATTTTGTCATGGTTGTTTTCTTGAACAGCCTTCAATATAATGTTTTTATACGCTATTTACATTCTGAAAAATGTTCATGAGCGTAACATTTTGAAGCCCACCTACAACGCACTTAAAGGTACTATGTCCCATTTGCAGGCCCAAAAAATGAAAAAGTTAAATTCCAACTGCATTTGAAAGATAATACTAATTTAGAACTTCCCTAAAAAGGTGGGGCTTGAAAATGTCTTCAAGTGGGAAAATAACGACTATTAATTGTCAAATCGACTTTAGGGCTATAGAGCCCAAAAGTAATAGTCTTGATTTTCAGACAATCGTACCGAATGGTCATACATTTTATGCTGCGCAAAGATTCAATCAGTCTAATCTTGGCCATCACAAGAAGTGGGTTATTGATGTAGACAAATGCTCATGTACCCTTTACAACTCTTTTCATGTATGTTATTACCAAAGAAGAAAAAAAGCCAGTTAGTCACTCAATAGTGTCTGACAGTGAAGTCTAGCAAGTAAACGGGTTTCCTTGCATAATTTGAATATGAGGACACTGCTAACGATTAAATTTCACAGATAGGACATACATGACATATTCATAATTCCTGCAAAGTTCTACAGAGTTTGAGGTTGGCTGCAAAAGGGACATAGTACCTTTAATATTTATGTTCATATGAATGTTTAATTCAATATAAATTCAATAATTGCATCGATTTAGTCAAAACATATTTAAGGTGTGTTTATGACATATAGTAATCCACAAACTGTTGTGCGATGATGATATGATCATGACTTCGTCAATGTTTGTTATGACTGTGAACCAAATTATCAATTAGGGGTAAAAGTTACGTCTTTTTTCTTTGAATGATTTCATTTAGGGCATCGTGTTTTCATCTCTCATTCTGTCTCGTCATGAAATTGAATTACTAAGAAATATCCACATGAATGTTCCTTGTTTTCTTCTCTAATGTTGCTAATCCATTTGTCAAAATAGCGTGACAACATTATGTTGCAATTGAATCAATTTTGTTTTGATAGTAAAATTCCGTCTTCGACGATATAATTTATCATGCAATCCATGTTTTGAAGCGAAAATGACCATCTTTGATGACACAATTTATTCAAGATTATTAAAGAATGTTTAGATGCCGAATTGCCCGTCTTTGATGATGTAAGTCGATCAAGTACATGTATGTTCACCTCTTCACGAGAAACCCTTTATTTTCAAACTTTTGAAGAAAAAAACATATTTTTCTAGTTAATCTTTGATTTGTTTTTATCATTATATGCAGAGCTCGCGTGCCAAGACGACAACACGCTATGCTACGATTGGGCAACGCTGGGCGAATGCCGAACCAACTCAAAGTTCATGAAGGCACACTGTAGACGTAGCTGTCACGTGTGCACTGGCGGTGACGGTAGAATCATTATCGATACCGGTATGTTATGGACAATATAGCGATAAATGATCGCTCAGATGTCGTCTGCCGATGAAAGTCGAATGTCGTAGGTTGAATGTCATGCAGAAAAAAGGGAAAACACGGCTAAATTGCATGCGAATGGTTATGTGAATGTAAAATGAGCAACAATTGTGCATAATTTTTTATTTTGTTTAATTCCCGCTGCGTGGGAATTATGATTGGTGAGAGTGTTTCTGAATCTGGATGGTGGATAACTGAGTTGTGGTTTGATGGATATTATATTTGTCTAAGTTGTATGATTCAAAGATATTTTTTTTGCAGGTTTTAACAATTACTTCTCTCAAAGAACTATCTATGATTCTTTTCTCAAGATAATGGTAATTATTGCATAAATTAAAGCCTATTAATAATAATAATAATAAATTTAATTTATATAGCGCTAAATACAAATGTCTCTAAGCGCTTTTACAAATATATTATTACCCCGGTCATTGGATTCAGTGCTTACCCGCACACAATGTGTGCACAATCTCCACTCCCTGGGGAGCATTCCAGCCAGGCGTTACATGACGCTCAAAAACTGTTTGACCAACAATGACGGTCGCATCCTACCGGGTACCCATTTAACACCTGGGTGGAGAGTAGCAAGTGCAGGTTAATATCTTGCCAAAGGATATTAGTGCCGTGTCGGGATTCGAACCCTCGACCTTCGCATCTCCAAGTCAAGCGCCTTAAACCACTCGACCACGACACTCCCGTGCAATGCTTCTTCATTATGAGTGCTAGTGAAACTATGTTTCGCAAATATTGCAGGAACCTTTTTGGCTAACTCCAAAATTGTGTCTTATTCATTAGCACCTATTTCCACTCTTAATTGGAAGAATTTCCAATCAATTCCTCTGCTCAACCTTGCCTTTAATTCAAAGCTTTTATAAATGAATTTTTCATCTTTGTATAACAGACCTGGTGCTTGTAAACTTATACACTATCGCTACTATTTCCTTCCCGAGCTATACACTGTTTGCAATCTTTTTAACAACCCCATAAACCCCAGAAATAGCATCCTTTATAATTTCCTGCGATACGATATAGCCTTCCCAAAGTTAAGTGGCCGAAGGCATAACGCTCAAATCATTTATATAATTTTATGTCCTATTCATCTTAAAGGCGAACATTATATTATGATCCCCCGCTTATTTCTATGACATCATTTTCTTGCCATCCCCTTTCGTCCTCAAATACCCCCCTTGCATGCCATTTCTTTCCTTCACATGGGCGTACAGATTCAGATGATTGTCAGGATACGACAATGGATTGCGCCCTCTGGGCAGCACAGAACATGTGCAAGGATCGGCAAGAGTGGATGTCCGAACGTTGCCGAAGAACCTGCCTTTGGTGCAGCCACCGAATCGTGACCATCACCGACCAGCCCGATGAAAGCCGAGTGGATTCCGAGGGCGGGATCATCACCGACGAGACAACACGAGCGGGTGACGAGGTCAACCGAGTGGATGACGAAATGGGCGTCTTGGGTGACGAAAATAGCCGAGTGGGTGGCGGAGAAACGAGAGGGAGGAAAGGAGAGATTGGAGCCAGTGAGGGAGAAGATTTTGGCGACAGGACAAACGATGAAAAGAGTTCGGACTCGGATGGAGGGAGTAATGTCGAGGGAAACCCGAGGGTGGAAAGTCAAATCCATGCTGAAGGAGAACTCTACGGAGGCTCTGTAAATTCCACAGGTAAAAATCTGTTCATACAAGCAGAAACAAATATAAAATATATTGTAGACCCATATAACGAAATAGACCTTCACACTCCGCTGTAGAAAACATATTGTATAAACTTTGTATAAAAAGCATTGTATTTGTTTGCTGTAAAATTGGGATGTCATTTTCACATTGTCCAAAATCATTTTAGAAGAAACAGGACAAGGTGGGCAATAGAAAATGGGGATTTACTATTCCATTTAATCTATATTTATGGAATCCTTGTTGCCTAATCGACAACGCAACGGCAGTAAACTAAACACAACTTCACTTTCACAATTCAGTCATTCAGATAACCACATTTAGGACTCGTGTTTACTTCATAGAAACGCAATTTTTATTTTACAGTCCGCTGTAATTTATGAAAGTTAATTAATTAATCTAAATCTTTTCGGTACTGTCCATTCTTAGGTTGGATTAAACCTCAAGGCTGTGTTGACGAGCATGATACGTGTAGTTCATGGGCTTCAGAAGGAGACTGTATAAGTAATCCTGAGTGGATGGCTATCAAATGTCCTGTCAGTTGCGGACTATGCGGGGATACTGATATCGAACCAGGTGAATACGTTTTGGGGATTTAGTATGGAAATTTTAGTGTATAAAATCGGAATTATTGTCAATCTCTCTTGTTTGTTGAGTTTCTGACTTTTGTTCTCCATTTTCTCTTTTGATAATTACACTTACTTTTATTTATCTCGTTTTACTCCACCAGGAGTATTGAGTTGTATATTTTTCGGATCCACAACACTTCATTACAAACTTCCCATCCGTATAAATATCATTCTTCGTCTCTATGTACTCAACATTATTTTAGTTTAATGATTTTGGTCGATTATTTTACACACTCGTAGTCTGTATCATTATATATTATCGCAATAATTCTAGTGATTACAAACACACAAAAACAAAAATCGTTCCTTTCTACTTTTTTACTTTCTTCACCATAGCTTGTGATGGAAATATTATTTTAAAATGTTGTCATAATGTGCTCATGAGGTATTTGTTAGTTTGAATATAAGTAGGTTCGTTGGACTTTATACTATACAACCCCTCTCTATCTATTTCAAATCCATTTTCCTACGTTTTGCATCATAAAGTGTTCGATATCGATTTGCTTTCCAGTTTTTCTATAGTTGTCGAAATCTTTCAGCACGATTTAGCTAATCACGCCTCTGTTTTCTTTTATTCTTCTTATCTATTCTGTGATTATATTTTCCCATTTTCTAGCCTGTGTTGACCGGCATCGGAACTGTTCATACTGGGCGATGATCGGGGAGTGCGACGAGTACCCGGACTGGATGCACGTCAAGTGTCCGCAGAGCTGCGGGCTGTGCGGACCGCAACCGACCGCAGAGGAGATTGAGGGTGCGCAAGGGATGGGCGTGGTCGATATGACCTGCAGTGACCCTAACATTGATGATTGTAAAAGGCCATAGTGGGCGCAACATATCTCTTGACAGAATGGAGATTCTTTTTACAAATCCTGTCAAGATACGGATTTTAAGATATAGATACTCCTGGAAATTTATCTCACACAAACAATGAGTGGCTAAGATGGGTACGCTTGTGTAGAAAAGAAATCTTTGAAAACTTTCAACAAACATTTTGTTTTATTCTATGAATGCAGTGCACACAGATCTCGAAAAAGAAATGAACATTTTTAGAAATAAAATAGATCACAACTGTTTTTTGTTGACAATTAACACGAGAAATCGCCCACTGCGGTTTAATAAATTTTAACAGCCTGCGTCATCAACATATTCCATGAACTCGAATGTGCATGAACGCTAATTTAACCTGAATGATGATGTCAAAACATATTGAGACGTAAGCGTGTCGTCATCATGACGATGATGTCATAATGGTACTGACAATACATTCCCAGACGATGGACATGAGGTGCATGAGATGGAATATTTACTCATCGTAGTCGACATCGTCGGTAGTCGTCATCATCCTAATCGCCTCCTTGATGGATTCACGGATTGGCTAACAATGGACTATGGCACTGCATGGTTTGCTAAAGGTTTGAAATTAATAACTCATTTTGTAGGCTATAGTCTAACAGTTTTCTAATAATAATTGTGTGATATTGAAAATAACACTAGTTTTCTCATTCTAAAACGTTCACTCCAGATTGATTTGTATTTCTAACTATCTAACTATTCGATGAAATTTGTGATGTAGTGTCAAATTTCAATTTAGATTGAAAAATAAATTACGATTTACATTTAAAATGAATTACATCGATTAACTTATCTGTGTCTAACACATCCAACTTTCAGTAGAGTTTAGATTATTCTGCATGTTGCTCTAGTAAATAGTTTACACTAAACTTTTATTGAAAAGCACACTTATAATAACGTAATCAAAAGCAAGTAGCATACAGCATCGGTAATTAATATGCGTATTCTCATGTTGATAAACTAACTAAACATGATGATAAAGCTTATCAGTTCTTTGAGATAATAGTTTTTATTTTCAAATAACATACGAATTCATTGTTTTTTTTAATTACGGACAGAAAGTGTTTTGATGATTCAAACATAAAACGACTTTGAACATTGAAACGGGGGGGATGAATTTTACAGAAACTGAATGGAAATGATGTAGGCCTAAATATTGACGCTGGTATTACAAATAATGTTTCATGAATTGCAATTAAAACAAATACTCAATTATTTGAAAACAAAATACATTAAATTCATTGTTAAAGAAATTATTCAATAAAGCGTTGAATACAGACTAAAATTGCAATATACACATGTACTAAAATGTTAAATCATTTTGTTTGAATGTTATTATGAATGTCTAATATCTTTAAATTAATTTGCATGTATTTATAGTATGAATTGAATAGAGAAATGACAGCAAAACTATTTTCAGACTCTTTTCCTTCACTCTTCAAATTCATGACGATCCATTTAAGTTATTTCTTCTTGTCTGCGTTTCTAGCTTGTGCGGATAATCACCTGTTCTGCAAACATTGGGCTAAAACCGGTAGCTGTGATTCGGGCCATGTCTGGCTGAGGGTACATTGTAAGAAGAGCTGTGACTTCTGCTCACTACCAAAACTAAACCCAAGTAAGAATACATCAATGTCATCGGCTGTTCGAGTTTCAATTTGAGCATAATACAACCATCATTTTTATCATATTCAGGAGCGGATTATTATTAGAAAATGTCAAGGAATGTGAGAGACTTTTAGCAAAATGCAATTTGAAATGTAAATAAATCTCAATTGAGATAGCTTTCTACAACATTTGAAAGTAAGAGTAATGGAGAGAAGAAAAAAAAACATTATTTAGTACTATGAGTGGCAACTTGATCATCACTTAGTCTCATAATATACTGAATACGTTTTTATTTCAGTCACTAAACCATTTTTATTGGAGGGTGTCACGATGAAATAAATGCGGAGATATGAAACAAAAGTTTGCATCACTTGGAATGGATACTGAATTATATGAAGTATCTAGAAGTTATGTTTGGGAAAAGTCTCACATCCGCCTAAACTGCCCCCCCCCCCCCCCTGGTTAGGAGGGACCGCATGCGTGTTCCCCAATCTTCGGTAAAGGGGTACTTTTTCGCGCGACAAAGTCCGGCCCGCCATGGATTTACACACCGGAGATAGGGGGTGCTTTAAACAAGAGGAAACATACATACCCGTTCCCTGAATATCACTGAGTGGGGGGGGGGGGAGGGGGGAGGGGGGGGGGCTACCCGTATCTTACAATGAAGATTGTGATATTTGATTATGTCGCTTGAAAAAAAATCCAAGATTAGGAAAAAGTAGTGTTATAGTTGATCACTTTAGGTTGGGCGAGATCTCTCGCAGCTGACGGAGTTGTAGAAATATGTTTCTTTGTACGGTGTTTCCCGATGAATATTCCCCTTACCTTTTTAATCTTCTTCATGTATAACCAGCATGCATGGATTCCCAGCAGCGATGCCGGGAGCTTGCCCTCAAAGGGGAGTGCCGGTCTAATCGGGGCTGGATGGCCTACCAGTGCCCTCACAGCTGCGATACATGCAAGAAACAGAACCGATTTGAAGGTAAGATGGCAAATTTATTCAATGTTTAACAAAAAACATGAATCTATCATGAAATATCCTGCGGTGGGCCATATGGTTGAAGTAAAATGGAAGGATATTATCGCCCCAAATTCAATTTGGCCTCCACAGATTATTGACTTTGCTTGACGTTGCGGTTGATTACATTATATTATGAGTTTTAAAGAAATTGAAAGATATTTTATCTTTTCACACATTAATCATTCGTTAAGATTGAAAATGTCACTTCTTTAATCTATTACTTTCAGGGAAATGTTGATAGGTTGGAGAAGGGGCTTCATTATCAATATCATCTTACTCAGATTATTCATTAAAATGTCATCTGGTTCGTTAGACAGGAATGAACTTTTGTGTGAGCCGATATTCTTATAAGCTGGAAAGGTTATAGTATTCTATAAAGCTCAGTACTTTAACGAACAGCAGAGTTGAATGTACCCCTATAAATACAAACCGAAACCATCAAATATAAATATTGTATCAAATCACCTATTCCCTTCTACCAACAGAATGTCGGGACAAAACTCGGCGATGTCAGCAGTACGCTGCTGACGGCCAGTGCCACACGAGACAGCTGTTCATGGAAGACGTATGTCCGTACAGCTGCGGGTTCTGTCGCGTCGGCAAAACTCTACGAAGCGGTCGCTACCGGACGTTCGACCCCGCGTTGCTCGGAGGCATGCAAACGCAAACCGAACAGAACGGCGCCGGTGCGGGAAACGAACTACTACCGGCGTCGAAGCGACGACCGCATCAGTCGTTGCGCTCGCGTCTACGACTCTCCAGTACTAGGGTCAACAGCAATAACAACGTCAACACCAACGAAAACAGCAATAACAACGTCAGCACCAACGCCAACAGCAATACCAACGTCAGCACCAACGACAACAGCAATAACAGCGTCAGCACCAACCAAAACCGCAGAGGGCGGTTCCTCACATCGAGTGGACAAAATAACTCACGTAAACGCAAACAAAAACAAAGAAAACGACGACTTCGAAACAGAAAATCCCGCACGAGGAGTGACTAACAATATTCCAACCCTTGTCTGAATTTGTTTGAAATGTATAGATATAGTTTTGTTCTGGTTGTGTTTGCAATTATTGATGTCCGTAATTTCCCTCTGGTCTTCACATGGATGAACATTGCTTGAGTGGCCTCTTAATGTTTTGAATGCAGGTATTTGTATGTTTATCTATCTCCAAAATCAGTATTTCACATTTTATCATAATTATATGAGCCATGAAATTTATATGATGTAAAGACAAACCATTTTTAAATTACTATTTGTACTTTAATTTCCGTAACTTTATTGTGCGTTTGCACTTATGCATTGCATTTTTTTTTTAAAGGTTTCGAAAAAAATTTAAATAGATTACGAAATGGTGCATTTTATGTTGTATTGTTTGTAACCAATGTGATTTTAATTGTTTTTGTTTTCTTCCTGTTTGTTTGCTTTGCAGTGAATGTTCAACCTGTTGATATCAATATCTCTACAATCGTCTAACTATTAATTGATGCACGATACCTTCCTAATAATTTCGCTTTCTTTAAAGCAAACCTAATTTCATATTATTGAAACATTTCAAATACCTGATAAAGAAAAGATATACTATAATGCTGAAAAGTAGGCCTAATTACTAGTTATTCCCTTAACAATAAAATATATTTGCCAACATAATTACGCTTTCTTTCTGTCTAAAGATCTAACATTTCCTCACCCTTTTCGTAATAAAATGCACTCCTGCTAATTCTATCTCTAAAACAATTTACTAGATGAAAACAAAATAATAGGCGTGTTTTAAAAAAGAGCAGATTAATCGAGCATACATTCCACAGACGCTTTTTGAAATTGCATAATATCTATTCCCAATTCCTGCTCTTTTAGGAAATCACATTCGTTTATATTCTATCCACAGGTGAATACCACAAAAAATCTTGGAGTAAATATTTCTTTACAATGTGTTGTGTTGTGATCGGTGTGTTTGTGTATTTGTTTATTGAATGATGTATTATATGTGACAGTGAATGCTTCTCTTTATGTTGTACAGTGTGTGTGTTGATGTAAAATTGCTCAGTTTGAAAAGCACGTGCATTTTCAAGTTTTGTCATACAATCTCTTTGGACTTAAAAATATATTGAAGAATCATGTTGGCTCTATTCTTTGCCTTGTTTTGCATATAGATTTTATTTGAAAACGTTGTAAGCTTGTTCAATACCAAAATGCAAGATTACAAATCTCAAAGTATGATTGTTATGACGTTATTCGTTGTTTTGCATGACGAACTTGCCGATGACTTATTATGTAATTTGCATCAAGCATATAATAGACATGCATCTTGACACAGCATGGTTAGTTTTTGTCAAACTATGAAAGTGACTTTCTAACGACTGAAACGCCCGAAACTCCCCGTATCAAGTTTGAATGAATATTTATAGCAACCTTTAAAAAGGTGCTAAATATTTGCGTGGGACTATTTCCACATAAATGATGACATAGAAGACAATGAAGGTTTCATGAGCTTTTATGAAGAAGAAGATTTATGCATTTATTATATTCGTATTATATTTTAAATAGTTCAGTTCAAGTACAAAATTAGATCGATCTGCCAGATTCAAGACCATGCATGGTTACATCCTTAAAAAGGTTTACCTTAATTAAAATGCTGTGTTCTGTGAAATTGTATTAAATATATATTTTGTTCTTTTATTTTGTTTTCCTTTGTCTGTGTGTTTTTCTTTGTGATCCTCGTCCCGTCTGACCTCATTATCTTGTGTGTGCAAATCTACGTTTCTTTCATTAAAATGTCTTTCTAACTCCCTATATCTCTGTGCTACTCTCCATCTTTCTGTACTTTCGTTCTCTCTCTCTCTCTTCTCGATGGCAAACTACTTTCAATCCCGTCTTTGTCTTGTCAATGTTATCATTATCCCGCTTATCCCTCCCACTCGTCACACCCTACCACCACACCCGACCACGCCCAATCACTTCCCTGCCCCGCCCAACTGTTCTTTGTTGGTGTCACACCCCCTTCCACCAGGCGAGTGCAGGGACCGCAACCCCCAGTGCCCGACCTGGGCCAAGACCACCCGATGCCTCGTCAACCAGGGCTACATGCAGGAGAACTGCCAACTCAGCTGCAAATGGTGTCCACCTGTAGAAAGTATGAAGAAACAAGATTGACATTGAATCGAAGTCGTTTGTAATCATATTATTCTTCAACCTCTTTGTAAAGTACTTGACCAAATCGACTTTTATTCGTCTAAAATATTAATGAAAAACTGTTTGGGATATTGATGTACATGAATCAGGGGCGGATTTTTTTTTTACCTTTAAAAAAGAAAAAGAAGACGAGCCACCCCCTGGGAAAAAAAGTAATTTTTTAAGAGCTCCATACACCCCCCCCCCCCCCTCCCACCCGCTTATTCGGCTGGCCGGCTGAGTCTCCGCTAAGTATTTTCTTACGAATTGGGCCCCCTCTTGGGCCCCTCGCCACCGGCTGGATCCGCCCCTGACACGAACGTCTAGAAAACATATTGAAACGAAATAAACTGACGGCAAGTCTATACATGGACAAAATAATACGAGCGAAGGGGTAAAAGATGAGCCGACCAATTGCAAACAAATGTGCTCACGTTTTACTTTTCTTTCAGGATGATGATTCTAACGTATAATTTCTAAAATTGGCTACTGTGGGCGAAAATGAGGCAAAATATTAACTCTTTTATTTAAAGTGTATGTTAAACTGTGCAATTAACCGATTTTTTTGTTTTTTTTTTGTTAATAACTAATCGCACTGGACGAGACCAATATTATTAATTGTTAAATACTTTTTATTACAGCCTGTGTTGACATAGATGCTGGCTGTGAGAAGTGGGCTCGAGGAGGACACTGCCTAACCAACGAGGAGGGACTCCGTGATAAATGTCAGAAGAGTTGCGGACACTGCGGAGAAGTGGAAGGTACGTGTATATGACGATCTTCGAAAAGGCAGATCTAGGATATTCGGGGGGATATTAGAGTAGGGTTGAAGGGAGACAGAAATATCCGTCTATAATGCGGAATTCTTTAATAAAACCTTGGTTTGAAACGCGTCGAAACGCGTCATAAGACGCACATAAACCTAGATTTGTCGACAAACCTCCTTTGTGAATTCGGGCCATATAGTCTTGGAGGAACTGCCATCGATGCCAAGAGACTAAAACTAATGTTTTTTATCCTGTATCACATATCAGAATGCCGAGACGTCCATCGAAAGTGCCGTGAGTGGAAGAAGGGAGGTTGGTGTACTCGAAGCCCCCTATTCATGAGGAAGTTCTGTGCTCCGAGCTGCGGACTCTGTGACGAAAACAGACAAGGAAACCAGAACGTCACCGTGGTTCAACCCGTACCAGAGGTGATTACAAGTTTAATAAAAATTAATTTTTATGACACTCCAAGCAACTTGGATTGGAAAGACCTACCGTAATTCATTAATATCTAGATGTAGTTTGTGACTAATTTTCGGTAGGAGGAGTTGAATATGAAGGGCCACTGTATTATTACAAGTCCTCCAATTACTAACTGACCAGTCCTTTTATACCAAAGGGAAAATATCTCAAATATCCCATTAACCAGTCCGCACTGACTGCATTAGATTTGTTATTGAAGACACTCGCATCATAAAGAATTCAAATTTATTGATCCAAAATCACGTTGATGTGGAGAGAAACAAAAAAGGTGTCTCTTCAATTTCTGAACGAAAACAAAGGGGATAAATAAAATCAATGGTGAGTACTGTCAGTTCTAATTTAGATCTTCTAATCAAAATTGTTTTATTTCACTCCATATGACTATGGCGGAGCAAATTACAACAGAATATGACTTCTACATTTACTGTAGTCTCCCCACTTCATCTTTTTCTTAAACCTGACATACCATTTTTAGCGACAAGAAAGAGAGGTTTGCTAGCCTTTCCAATCGAATTTAGGTATTAACTTTGCTTATCCTGAATTTTCCTCTTTTTTTTCCTTTCTCCAGACTGCGCCAGTGAAGGGAAAGAAGACCAAACAGACGAAGCAGCCGAGACTCACAAAGCAACAAAAGCTTGAGCAGCAAGAGCAGGAGGCGGAGCAACAACGCGTGGAGCAACAGATACGGGAGCGACAGCGGCAGGACGATGGCTACATCGCGCTGGGTCTGGAGGAAGTCCAGAGGCTGCTGCTCAACACCGACGGGGACCTGACCGCGAAACAGATCAAATCACTCAAGAGGGCACGGAAGGCGATCAAGCAGAGGCAGCAACGGGAGAAAGAGCTCCGAGCTATCCAGAAGAAGGCCAAACTGAACAACCTCAACCGCGAGACTGAACCTATCATAGATCGACTTGACGAAGCAGCCGTTCGCGAATGATAAGCTGATACCATCTTTCTTTCTCTTCCTTCATGACACGACTCAAAGATTAAAAGTTAGAGAGACAAATCATGGTCGGAATATCGCCATGATGATGACGATGATGATGATGATGACGATGATGACGATACCGATATGATAGCCCATGGCTCATTTTTTTAAAGTAAATGCAGTCGGTTTTGTGTAGATTATATCGCCAGAGAAAGTTTGGTATAAAAATCGCAAGATTATTACGTAATGGGTGGTGGAATTGCATTATATTTAGTGCTGGGATGTTTGAGGTGTATTTGTAATCGTTCAGGTGTGTGTTTAGGTAGGAAGATTATACGAATTTTAAGAATAAAATGATTGAAATTGGAATGACATATTTTTTCCATGTTAAAGCATTATAATACATTTTGGAGGATTAAAATGAAGTTCGTAAGGGTTAGAACTATCTGAAAGAGCGTTTTGTTTCTTGAATCTTTCATAAAGATTTTGCTGTATGCTTCGATGCTTCATTTTCAGAATCACGATTACATACTAATAGTGATGAAAGAGTTGCACATCTGATACGCAGTGACGAAGGGTCAAATGTCAAAGGTTGCGGGTCAAACTGTCAAGATGGAATTCAATTGGTACTATTCCGTGCAATTTCTGTTCATCTCATACTACTTGTCATAATGATATAAAGTACATTAATTTGACTTCATCTACTGAAATAATAATTTGTGCCCGAACCCATACTAAATATCCCCGACAAAATCTGTGCATTTACCTTTTTACTCAGTAATCTTCTTCTTCTTCTTCTTCTTCTTCTTCTTCTTCTTCTTCTTCTTCTTCTTCTTCTTCTTCTTACTTCTTCATTATCACATTATCATTAATATTATTAGTTACAGGAATTTCAGAGTTTTACATTTTCTTCTTGAAATCCATAGACATTAATTTTGTTTAAATATTTGTGTTATTACTTTACTCTCAAAAGCCCAGACAAGTACACTTCAGACCATAATGTATCTTGTAAAAGTTTCGTTTTCTTTATGAATTAAAACGAAGGGGAATTGTCTTGTATCTTGGAGAAGCTTGACAAAATTTACTCCCAAAAAGAATGTAGTTAACCCGTTCCCGTTATCAATTTATGGTTATGGAGAAATGGAAACAACAGCAAAATTATTGTTAATTTCAGTTGAACAAAACAAATATTGATTTGTTTTATTTTGGGGAATGTAGCAAGGTTGTCTATTGCTAATAGATAGTATTGTATAGTTTCAGAGCAAGTAAAATTATTTTATGTACGATAGAAAAAAAGTTTTATTACAAATTTGCATGTTCAAAGTATTGTGTATTTTAATTTTATACTAATGATAGATTTTTGAAATAAACTAATTTTTTCTGATAAAAGTATACTTCAGTCCTTCGTTTGTAAAGTTTGTGTTGGTTTATGTTGAAAGAGATTCAAGAATAGTGGGAAGGAAACATGAGATCATGATCATGCATGATGATGGAGATTGGGAGAGGGTGTAGAAATATATTTAGAGAGAGGGGGAGAAACAGGGAGTGAAGGGGGTGAGAGACGTGATTGGAAGGGAAAGAGATAGAGAGAGAGAGAGAGAGAGATGGCATTATATCATGATACATATAACCGGAACAGATGAGAGAGAAAGAGAGAGAGAGAGAATTATATGCACAGCAGGGGAAGAGAGAGGTTTGACTTTATACGACACATAGTATATATATAGAATGGGAAGGGTAAAAGGCAAAGAGAGGGGACGTTATGGCAGTACATAGAAGTGGATGAGAGAGATGGAGGTGACATCATTTAATACATAGAAGGGGTAAGAGAGAGATTTGACTATAAGATAAATAACATAGAATGGGAAGAGTAAAAGGCGAAGAGGGAGGGGATGACATTCAAATTACAGTACATAGAAGTGGGTGAGATAGAGAGAGAGAGAGAGAGGGGAGGGGGAAATGTGGAGGCGCATGAAGGGGGGGGGGGGGAGAAGCGATGCGAATGAGACTGAAAATAAGAAATGGGATATATATATATAGGAGAGTGAAAGGAAGGAAAAGAAGGAAAGTCACTTTCAAGTTAAAATATAAATTATGAAAAAGATATCTAGGGAAAAAGAAAAGAAGAAAAAGATATCTATGCTGTCCTCTATATTCTCTCCTATTAGAGAATTTTGCAACCTTATATTACGAATATTAGTATGATGCACAATAGGGTACGAAAAAGGAAGAACGAGAGAGGGAGAAGAGAGAGAGTGAGACAAAAAGAGAGAGAGAGAGTATGTGTGTGTGTGTGTGTGTGTGTGTGCGTGTGTGTGTGAGAGAGAGAGAGAGAGAGAGAGATGGGGAGGGGGGGGGGGAGAAATGTGAGGATGCGCAAGAAGGGGGAAAAGAAAAGCGATGCAAATGAGACTGAAAAATAAGAGATGGGATATAGAGTGAAAGGGAGGCAAAGAAGGAAAGGAGATATCAAGTTAAAATATAAATTATGAAAAAGATATAAGGAATGAGGAAAGAAGAAAAAGATCTCTGTGCTGTCCTCTGTTTTCTCCTATTAAAAAATATTGCAACCCTATAAACGAATATTAGTATGATGCACAATAGGGTACGAAAAGAGGGAGAAAGAGAGAGAGAGAGAGAGAGAGAGAGAGAGATGGGGGAGAGATGCGGGAGAATTGACATAAGTTAATAAGGAGAATAGAGAGATTCGACTTTACGAAACATAATATAGAATGATAGGAGCAAGAGGCGAAGAGAGAGGGGACGACATACAAATTACAGTACATAAGAGTGGATGAGAAAGAGAGAGGGGGAGAGAGAGAGAGGGAGAGAGAGGGTGGAAGAATTGACATAATTTAATACATAGAAGGAGAATAGAGAGATTCGACTTCACGATACATAATATAGAATGATAGGAGCAAGAGGCGAAGAGAGAGGGGGCGACATACAAAATTACAGTACATAAAAGTGAATGAGAAAGAGAGAGGGGAGAGAGAGAGAGAGAAAGAGAGATGGGGGAGAGATGCGGGAGAATTGACATAATTTAATAAGGAGAATAAAGAGGTTCGACTTTACGATACACAATATAGAATGATAGGAGCAAGAGGCGAAGAGAGAGGGGACGACATACAAATTACAGTACATAAGAGTGGATGAGAAAGAGAGAGGGGGAGAGAGAGAGAGAGAGAGAGAGGGAGAGAGAGGGTGGAAGAATTGACATAATTTAATACATAGAAGGGGAATAGAGAGATTCGACTTCACGATACATATTATATAAAATGATATAGGAGCAAGCGGCGAAGAGAGAGGGGGCGACATACAAATTACAGTACATTATTATTGAAAGAGAGAGAGGGGGTGTCAGGATGTGCAAGAAGGCGAAAAAGAGAAGCGATGCGAATGAGACTGACAATAAGAGATGGGATATATATCAGAGAGTGAAAGGGGGAAAGAAGGAAAGTAGATAAATCATGAAAAAGATATAAGGGAATGAGAAAAGAAGAACAAAATATGCTGCCCTCGATGTTCTCTCCTAATAGAGAATATCGCAACCTCATAAACGAATATTCATGTTTGCAAGTGCATATTGGTTTCGAGTATTTTTATTTGTGTATTGTACTGTCCAGATTCTAGAATTTGTGTACATTTATTTCTGACAAAACAATTATTAATGATGTTCTTTTTTTTGGGGGGGGGGGGGAGGGAGGGGGCTCTTTTAATGTTTCATTTTTCAAACATTATTTGATCTCAATAGAAACATGTCCGCAAAGTACGTAGATTTTGCAATCTTTACATTTTATTTTACAAGGTAGAAGAATTATTTTTTTACTGATGAGGCAAATTTCAAAGAAAGAAGTGAAAATCTTTACAAAAAATAAAATAACAAAAAAGGATGTGCTCCAACACCCCCGACCCCACAAAAACATGCCACTATTTTGATCCTTGGTTTGCAGCTGTGCCTCCTGCGTACCCTGCGTATATCATTATTACGTCATCTGACGCGCAAGGCATTGTTACGTCATCGATATCATTTTAACGCGCAACGGGTTTAATAGCAACGCAAACACAGCATTAGAATCATTTCTGACGCATTTCAAGTTCACTTGAAACGTATGCTGATTTTGATCTTCAAATCTCATTTACGAATTTTTTCTTACCGGCATCAATTCGTGAATTTCGGGATATTTTTGCTAAGCAAAGGAAGAAATATACAACGTTGAACAAAATGAATAACTTGGTGAGTCCTTAGAAAAATCAATTTAATTATGATTTACTTTTAAAATATCGTCGCAGAAGTAGAAGTAGAATATCACAAAGTTGCCATATAATTATCTTATACCGTATGAACATAAACAGAATTTATTTCATTTTGAATAAATTATGTCTTACTAATAAGTGATTATCATTAACTACGGAAAAATAATCTTCATAAGAAAGAGTAGGTCGATTGAATAAAGCAAGAGAGAAGGCGACATTATAATATGGGGAGGTCTTAGATTTCTTTAGGGGGGCTTGGGAGCTTTGGTGTTCTTGCATTCATTGTCTACATGTGCCATGCTTAAAATCATTTATAATCAAGATTCTTTGGGACGGAAGCTCAAACCCACGCCCCTTCTTGAACCTCTACTGAGTATGATCCTTTCAAACTCAAAGAAACCTTTCGTATTCAGATATAAAATATAATTAGGGGTGTAGAAAATAATGCGATTAGAAATATTAAGTTTAAAAATACGTTTTTGTTTAAGATACATGGATATGGAAAATGTGTATTCGTATTGTCAATGTGTAAATCATAAAACTGAGAATTATAGCAAATTTCTGTTCATCAGGTGTAAATCAAAATGTCTTGCTTTTACTTCTAACCATATTAAAATTACTTTAAGAAATATTGCAAGAGCAAACAACCAAATATTGAACTTTAGTGTATGACATCTTTTCCGTTCTAGCTTATTCATCGATCACATCCCCGAGTCCAGAACGGCCTGACGACCACCAGTCCTGCCATCATCGACAGCAAGGAGCAGACTCCTACGTGTGGTCCTTGGCGCTGGAGGATCCCCAATCTCCACATCGTTTCTGCTTTCCGCTCTCTCTACTTCAGACTTCGAGGACGTACACCCGTGACAATGCTCAAACCCAGTGACATTGTCAATGACGTCAGTACTGAACAGAGGTCATCAACTCGCAGGAGCAACAAGGGTGAGCCTCTGACACCGGCTGCTTTCTCAACAAGCAGTCATAACTGCCCCAGGCCATATATCAGCAAAAAGAGCTCACCGGTGGCATCAAGCTCCTCTCTGAGTGGAATTCGTGATGTCAGCACTCCCAGTCGATTCTCCCTTCCTGGTGCGGTGGGTGAAAGTGAAGTCTTCGCGACCGATAGAACTGATAATAGTCAATCAAACAGCGATCACTTGATCTACCCGCACGTAGGAAAGGGTCGAGATAACGACCAAGCCGCTCTAGATGCTGTATCTGAAGCCAACCTCTACGATTCTGAGGTTGAAAAGGAATCGACTCGAAACTCAGATAATGATAGAGACATTATCCAAGGTGAAAGTGAGGACACGCCGTCAAAAGACGAAGTCCATCACCCGGTCGATATACCCGTCATTACTCACTCACCCTCATCGTCACCAAGTAGTGGAACCAACAGTGAGGTTGATATCAACTTTCAAGACAAGGACTTGAATGTGGATGAGGTATGGCAACCAAGACCCTTCTCGAGAAGGGGGAGGGAATGCTGGAAAGAGGAAGAGCCTAAGACACGATCTCCAGTTGAAGGAGATCTTGCAGAAGAGGAAGGTATGAGTATCGGATCATCAGTGGACTTTAGCAAGCCTGATGATACCGACACAAAAGTCCCCTGGGTCAAGAGGGGGGAAACAACCACGGAGGAATATTCTGAACTAGATGAGGAGATTGAATATTACGAGGCTAACGATGGACAGGGCGATGACTACCTCGACATAGACAAGGTGTTGAGGAAGTGCGCACCGACAGAGGTCCTCCGGAATCTGAGAGACATGGTCCAGCTCTCAAAGAACACCACCAGCCAGCTTGAGAAGGCTCTTCGACGAGCAGCTCGTATCACTTGTGGTCCCTTCCCTCGACTTCCCGGCTCTGGTCTTACCAAAACTGAGATCATCGACTTAAAGTGCACAAAGCTTGTGGGTGACTCAGAGGACTTTCTTGGAGAAATGAACAAGAACTTCCTGACCTTCTACACCGTCCAAGAGCAGATGGACAAAGTCAGCGCCCAGCAGGACAGCTTTGTCGCCTCCATCCTGGTGAAGAGAGGACCGTGTCGCGACTGGCGCATGGGTCATGCTGCCATCATGCGGAAGATGAACAAGCTCTGGAGCAGAGATTATCCCTTGGTAATCACCAGG